CCAGATTTGGTTCAACCTACAGCAATTGCCTTTTCCGATTTTTTGGAACTGCCACCGAATAAAAAAAACAGCTGTTTGCTCAGTTCTACTTGGGATACCTGTGTTCCAGTCCCTGTTCCACCGGAGATTCCCTGTTTGACCATGCAAATTTCTGTGCCTCTGTTCCCCAGCTGTACAATGGAGAAAACAGGCATTCTGTACCTCACAGGTGTGTTGTGAGGATCAATACATTATAGCCTGTGGGTACCCAGCTACTACGGCTAAGGGGGGCAGATAAGTACCTCTGGGAGAAGCAGGGCTGTCTCATGAACGGGAGCCTGAACACACCCAGAGGAGGTGAGATTACCCACACGACACAGCTAGTGTCTGACACTGGACTCATGCCTCTAAATAGGCTATTACTGAACTGGCCACTCGGTGGAAGTGGAGCAGAAATAAGAGTGAGGGAATGTTGCAGTGATGGAGATGAAGAGAGACACTCAGGGAGGTGCCGTCTCACAATGACTAAGGAGAGCCTGGCGCTGCCTGCTCAGCTCTCACTCAGCAGTGATGGGGGAGGTGGGGAAAGTGATCAGGTTTAGCTGAGCCTGACCCAAACACAGCCCTTTTGCAACTCAAGTTGATGCTGTAGGGCAGGGGTCGGCAACGTTTGGCACGCGGCTCGCCAGGGTAAGCACTCTAGCGGGCCGGGCCAGTTTATTTACCTGCTGATGCGGCAGGTTCTGCCGATTGCGGCCCCCACTCGCTGCGGTTCGCTGTCCCGGGCCAATGGGGGCGTCGGGAAGCGGCGCGGGCCGAGGGATGTGCTGGCCGCGGCTTCCCGCCACCCCCATTGGCCCGGGACGGCGAACTGCGGCCAGTGGGGTCCGCGATCGGCCGAACCTGCCGCGTCAGCAGGTAAATAAACTGTAGGGCTTGTCTACATGGGGAATGTTACCAGCATACTTATACAGTGACAGTTACACCAGTGTAACGCCCCATCTGGACACCCTTATTCTGGATGAAGCTGGCCGGGGCGGCTCTATATATTTTGCCGCCCCAAGCATGGCAGTCAGGCAGCCTTTGGCGGCGCGCCTGCAGGAGGTCTGCTGGTAACGCGGTTTCGGCGGCATGCCTGCGGGAGGTCCAATGGTCCCACGCCTTCGGCGTACCCACCACCGAATTGCCGCCGAAGCTGCAGGACCAACGGACCTCCCGCAGGCACGCCACCAAAGGCTGCCTGACTGCCGCCCTCACAGCGACTGTCAGGTCGCCCCCCGTGGCTTGCCGCTCCAGGCACGCGATTGGTGCCTGGAGCCGCCCCTGAGCTGGCTTTTTCCCAGTGTAGCTGGTGTCACTTTCAAAGCAATATAAGCTGAACCAGAAAATTGTGCCCTGAGTCCAGAATAAGTGTTTCCACATGGGGAGTTTTGCCAGTATTGCTATAGTGGTGTATTTGTACTGGCATTATTCCCTGTGTAGACAAGCCTGTAGCATCCCCAGCTGAAGCTAGCTTATGGTGGAAGATCCTTGCTCCATGCACCTGGTCTTGTCCCAGTAAATCGCTGGTGTGGCACCAGTAACTGGACTGATGACTGGCCTGCATTGGGAGTGAATGCACTGGGAGGCCCAGGCTGTGATTACCTTTTGGGCTAGAAGACTCTCCCCGAGAGGAGAGAAATTTGGGCCAAGCAGGCTGATTTCACCAGGACTGGTGTTTGTGCCATCTGTGTCACAAACCCAGCTGCAGCTCCCCAGACTCAGTGGAGGGAAATGCCCCTCAGAAGTAGCATCAGGGGAGACACAACCTTCTCCCTCAGATGATACAAATCTGAGGAGGCGAGTGCGCTCTGTCAATAGAGAGTGGAGAACGTGCTCCAAGAGAGATCTCGGCACCTGCTTGTCTCTTCAGGGCCACCTGGATCTCTTTATTGAGAGAACACAGTTTCTGGAGAGAAGTAAAGAACCTGACTCTTGGTCACCAACCCTGAGAGATCCAAGATCATCTACTGGAGGCTGAATACCCTGTGGTCTCATGTGAGCGTTATCCCTCATGCTGCTGCTGCCAGGCACTGAGACCGAACCTGTCTGTCAGGGGATACCACTAAAGGGTTAATAGGGAGCCTGCCTGCCTGCTCAGCTGGGGTTGATCAGTGGCCTCCCAACAGCTGCAGAGATAAAAGGGCTGCAGATCAGACAGGTATGTTAGCTGATAGAGAGACTGAAGGGCTGCAGAGAGGAGTCCCTTTTGCTTCAGCAACAGATTAGTAAGATGCTACCCAGGCAATCAGGTTGTTCTCTCTCTCTTTCCTTAATGGTCACTAGAATTGATTGGAAAATGGAAAACCAGTTTCATTAAAAATGTTGACATTTGAAAGTTATTTCCATTAATCAGGAAGAAGCTTGCATTTTTTTAAACTTTTGGTGATTTTGTTTTTAAACTGCTCTGTGCAATAAAATAAATAGTGTCACTTCCCCCTTCTCTTTTCCTTCTTTTATTCCTTTTTCTTTTTGGCACTTGGTAACTTTCCAAAACTTCCTCAAACTTTGAAAAATTACAGTGTGGCAAAGTAACAGGCTTTCATTTTTCCTTTTATCTCTCTGTAACTCTTTCAAAATTATAGCAGTTTGGGGACGGGAGGGGGGACAAGGAATTGTGAACAAACTTTAGATATGATAGTTGGCATCTTTTCTGAATCATAGAATATCAGGGTTGGAAGGGACCTCAGGAGGTCATCTAGTCCAACCCCCTGCTCAAAGCAGGACCAATTCCCAACTAAATCATCCCAGCCAGGGATTTGTCAAGCCGGGCCTTAAAAACCTCCAAGGAAGGAGACTCCACTACCTCCCTAGGTAACGCATTCCAGTGCTTCACCACCCTCCTAGTGAAATAGTGTTTCTTAATATCCAACCTAGACCTCCTGCACTGCAACTTGAGACCATTGCTCCTTGTTCTGTCATCTGCCACCACTGAGAACAGCCGAGTTCCATCCTCTTTGGAACCCCCCTTCAGGTAGTTGAAGGCTGCTATCAAATCCCCCCTCATTCTTCTCTTCTGGAGACTAAACAATCCCAGTTCCCTCAGCCTCTCCTCATAAGTCATGCGCTCCAGACCCCTAATCATTTTTGTTGCCCTCCGCTGGACTCTTTCCAATTTTTCCACATCCTTCTTGTAGTGTGGGGCCCAAAACTGGACACAGTACTCCAGATGAGGCCTCACCAATGTTGAATAAAGGGGAACGATCACGTTCCTCGATCTGCTGGCAATGCCCCTACTTATATAGCCCAAAATGCCGTTAGCCTTCAATCCTGTGAGTGTCTATTCCTTGTAAATGTATAACTTTGCTAGTGGAGATTTTAATGGATATTTTTATCATGCAGTTTCAGAATCTCACTAAGCAGTTTGAATCAACAATATCTATTGGCAGAGAATTCAAAAGTTAATCCCTGAGTGTGGCAATCTGGATCCAGACATCTCAAGGGGAGAATAGTTGGTTTAACTGCTTGTTTTAAGCTTTCTGATTGCATATTGTGGTTTTGTACATAAAAATATGTTGAGTAAGGTTGTTGATGAAATCTTGTAATGTTCTAAACTTAAGATATGTATACAGACTGTGGTTATGAGTATGGATATAGATATACGTTATGAGCACAGGTTATTACAATTTCAGCTCCACCTTGTGGTGGCCAGTCTGGTAGAGAGGGGCTGCCCCCACCACCACACACACACCACCAGATGAGACTAACTCAATGCACCTAGCATTGTACAACCCAGGAAAAGACAAACGATGGACCGTTATAGTTAGGGGAAAACGCTGAGACATCCTGGTGATCAAGTAGAGGGAATTTCCCCTGCTCTGAATAACCATGAATCGCCTTAGTCTGAGACAAGGGCGGGGGGGGGGGGGGGTGGAACCAACCTGCAAATCCTGTTAAAAGGGAATGGGTTTAAAGTGAAATCTCTCCAGTAACTGAGGGACAGTCAATTGGTGGGTGCTGTCTGTGAAATGCTGAATCCTCCTACAGTTAGGGAATATGCTGGGAAAGTATTTTATTAGAAAAGGGATTTTTATCTAATTTGAAAGTTTAAAGGTTAATGTTGCATCTGGTTTATTTTCTGCATGGCTTGTATAGGTTTGCTTCCCTTGCTATTTCATCTATGAATCCACAATTTTTCTATTAAATAAACCTCATGTTTATATTTACCCCAGCAGGTCTCTGTTGTGTGAACTGAGGAAAGCATAGATGTCAAGAATGGTGGTGGTGGGGGGGTCATTTGAGGGGGCTCACCCTGCAAGGAGTAACTAGGCTGATGGAAGCCAGGGTGAGACCTGTATTCTTATGGGCTGGCTACTGGGGTCAGGGCTCTACCAGAGCTGGCAAAGCATTAAGGCACCCAAGGTTTCAAGGGCAGGCAGGGACAGAACCCCCGACTGGTCTGCCTGATCCCCAAAGCATCACCATGATGATCACATAACCACCTAAAAACTGATCTGCATGGCACAGCACAAATGAAATCAAATAAATGCCTGCCTAAAAAGGCTTTGGCGTTCCAGTTTTGGACAGGAAAAACCACCCTCAAGGAGCACTGGTTTCTGCTGGGGATGAGTCCAAAACAAACCAATATTCAGCTGTTTGTCCCTTCTGGCCTTGGAGTCTGACTTCAACTTGGCTCTCCCACATCCTTGGGAGGCTATACAGTCACGTTCACACTCCATCCCTGGCCCAATGACTGTCCGTTGCCATTCATAATGGCAATTCATAGTCAGTCATGATGACAATGAATACTCATCGGGCTAGGAAAGCTGGATGAGAATAACTCTACAGCCTCCTACTTCATCATCAGCCTACATTGTATGAATCTCACCACCCTAGCCTGGGTTCTCAAACCCAGCATTTGGGCTGTGACCTCAAGGAGAGGGAGCATTTGAATATTAATACGTTTGAATCAATAGATTAAAGTTTAACAAATGTCATTCTCATTGTACTGTAAAGTTTATCGCTTCCCCCAGATGCATCCCATGGCAGACACGGAGCAGGGAAATCAAACATCCATCACAGAATTCATCCTCCTGGGATTTGGGAATATCCCTAAACTGCGGGTTTTTCTCTTCCTGCTGTTTCTAGTGATCTACTTTGTGACCGTGGGCGGGAACATCCTCATCGTTGTGCTGGTTGTGGCTGATCAGCACCTTCACACCCCCATGTATTTCTTCCTGGGGAACTTGTCATGCTTGGAGACCTGCTACACCTCCACCATCCTGCCCAGGATGCTGGCCAGTCTCCTGACTGGGGACAGAACCATTTCTGTCAGTGGCTGCCTCACACAATATTATTTGTTTGGTTTCTTTGGAGCGACAGAATGTTATCTCTTAGCTGCAATGTCTTATGATCGGTATTTAGCAATATGCAAACCACTGCATTATGCAGCCCTTATGAATGGCAACTTATGCCTCCAGCTAGCAACTGGTTCTTGGATATGTGGATTTTTGACTATTCCCATAATAGTATTTCTTATGTTACAATTTACTTTCTGTGGTCCCAATGAAATTGATAACTTTTTCTGTGAATCTACGCAAATAATAAATCTCTACTGCAATGACACCTACCAGATGGAACTTGTTGTTACCATCCTGGCGGCTTTATTCACTCTGCCCCCATTTGCATTAGCCCTGGCATCCTACGTTTGTATCATCTCCAACATCCTAAGAATCCCTTCCACCACTGGGAAGCAAAAGGCATTTTCTACCTGCTCCTCTCACCTCATTGTGGTGACAGTTTTCTATGGGACCCTAATCATTGTGTATCTGCTACCAAAAACCAACACACTGAGAGACCTGAATAAAGTGTTCTCTGTCTGCTACACAATTCTGACTCCTATGGCCAATCCCTTCATATACAGCCTGAGAAACCAAGAGGTCAAGGAAGCCCTGAAAAAAATTGTCAGTAAGTGTCTAGATTTTATGAGAATTCAGAAACTTCAATCTCTTCAGGCAAAATGGTGTATTACTCAGATGCTGTGTGGCCCTTATTTCTTGCTCCATTGTTGGTGATATGCACTTATAACATTTTGAGGATGTGCAAAGATTTGAAAGTGTGAGAGGAATCCATACCAGGGCTGTTGGAATAAAATGGAACTGTATTTTACTTGCTGAATGCGGGTAGATGATATCTTGGTGAATTCTATACACTAAAATAACTTAGGGCTTGATCCACAAAGGGACTTCGACATTGCAAAGACTAAGTTTTAGTGCCATGCCAGCCAATGGGAGCCTCAGCAATGATTTCGGCAGCCAGGCTCCCTATACGGTGCATGGGGAGAATTAGGCGGCTAAGAAAGGGATCCCCAGAGGTCAGCATGCGGAGCAAGGAGCTGCCTCACCCAGCCAAAAGGACAAGCCAGTTAGAAGAGTGTTACCTAAGCCACATCTCTCCCACGGAGTTAGACGCTATCTCTGCTTGGGATTTTCAGCTGTGAACCCTAAGGAGGGAGGGGGGCACTCACCAGGCTGTTGGAGACCCACGTTCAGTCTCTTCCCCCCGCCCCTCCGTCTAATATGCAGCAGGGATTTTACTGTGGGTTCCCCCCCTCAGGCGAGTGTTCTAGCAACTGGACTGCAGAGTCGTCCTCTCTGGCCCAACACATGTTTAATTCATTTTACACAGTGGAACTATATCCTCAGGAGACTTTGAGGGAGCCCCACACCCAATTGCCCTTCATGCCAGGGCTCGGGGAACTCACCCGAGAAGAGGGAAACCCAATTTAAATGCCTGCACCGCGTGGGTTGGAGGGGAGAGAATTGGATCTGTCTCCCCCACGTCCTGGCTGAATGCCCTAGCCACTGGGATCAGGGTTATAATGGAGGCCTCATGCCCTCCAGCCACTTTGGTTGGGGATAGGCGTGCTGTGAGCATGCCTACCGGATCGAGCCCTGTGGGTGAGACAGGCAGGGCTGTGCCTAGCTTGAGGCTCCTGTGGGGGTGAGGTGTGAGATGAGTGCCTAGACTGAGGTGGCTGTGCATATGTTTACTGGCTCCTACAGTCCTTTAGTGGCAGAGATTTAGACACCTACGACATTAGGTGTCAGCTGAGCAGGGGTTTTGAGGCTCTCATTGGTGCCTAAATGCTGGCTCTACACACCTGAGTCCCTTTGTGGGACTAGCTCTGAAAACCCAAATTCCGAAGTGACAGATGCTCTTAGGCCCATAGCCTCTCAATGGGATTTATGTTCCTGTGTCTCTGAGTTCGCTTGAGGCCAGATGTGTTTAAAGGTATTGAGGTGCCTAGTGGGATTTTCAAAAACATCCAGACGCAGAACATGCCAAAAATGGGTTTAGGCCCCAAGATGCTGCTGAAAGTCCCATTGGTGTCTAAATACATTTTAAAATCTGGCTCTTGGGCATTTCTGAACATTTTACTCCTGGTCTTTAACCTCCCCTGATGAGAGCTGAGGGAATCATTACGTTTTCAGCTTGGGGGCCCGTATGAGACCGGAACCTCTGCCAACAGGCCAAGGGCACAGGGTGGGCATAGTTTCACAGGGATCCCGTGGGCTGGGTATCTGCACAAGAGCTCACCAGAGGGTGGCATGTGAGGTCTGTACTGATAGCTGCTAGCACACTGGTCGCCATAACTCCTTAAGTATTATCCAGCCACGCATTTCACAAGGATTATGTATCTATACTGAAAATACTGTCTTGGGGTTAAGCCAGGTCACCAGGAAGTGACATACCTCTGGAAATACTTCCTAACTGTAAGAATGGTAGGACAACGGAACAGATGCCTAGGGAGGTTGTGGAGGTTCCTTTACTGGAGGTTTTCAAAAGGAGGCTGGCTAGCCAACTGTCTTGGATGGTTTAGACAAAACAAATCTTGCATCTTGACAGGGGGTTAGACTAGATGACCCTTGCGGTCCCTTCTAACCCTACAGTTTTATACCTCTGAGATAACAAGATGCTTTTCTCCCTGTCTGGCCATTTGTGTATTGTGGACCTCACAATGGAGGCCTATTTACAGAATGAGCCTGGTGCAAGTTAAGAGATTGCAAAATCTGAGAGAAATAAAACAGCAGGGGGTGTTGAGGGTCCTTCACCTAGGTGACAAGCTAACAGTTTGTTTGTCTTCTGAAAGCAGGGTCACCACTAGCCTGTCTATAAAGCGCAGCAAGGATTTTGGGGGAGCAATACTCTACAAGACACGAGTATCTTGTTAACTAAGTTTGGGCTCTAGAATGCATGTTATAATTTTATTTTATTATAGGTAAGCATTTGTTTCCAATACTTGCTACTACTGGAATCTCTAAGCTTTGCTAAATAAACTTCTACTTGTTTTCACTATAAACATATGTAAGTGCTGTGTGTTAAGCAGAGCAGAGATCTGAGATGGAACGGGTAAGCTCAGGTGTACTGGTTCTTTGGAAGCAGCAGATCTGTGAATATGGCAAGTGTCCAGTGAACCAGGGGCTGGTCACTCCAGGGGGATGCTCTGAGGCCTTGAGCATTGGTATGTGCCTAACGCTAACTGTAAAGTAACAACGGGGCCTGCATAGGCCTAGAGAGGAGTGCTTGTGTCACCCATGGCTGGTGGAGTTGGGGAGCTGACCCCCGGTAGGTACAAACAAGTCTTCCTCACACTGAGGGCAGGCAGTGGCAAGGTGCTTCAGAGCACTGGGTATTACAGGAAGTGTCACAGCAAAACTGATTAAATTAGTACTTTTTTTGTTTCTACCAAAATGAGTCTCTCACTGAAATGAGAGACTGAAAATTTTTTATTCAAGTTGAATGAAATTTTTTCAATGTGAATTTAAAACGTTTCAAGACATCGCCAATTTTTTTCCCCGAAACTCTTCACCAAATTCAACCTGAATTCCTGAATAGTTTCACTGCCCTGAAAAATGCTTTTTTTGTGTGCAAATTTACCATTCACTGAAAAAAATGTCTCCATGCTCTACCTGTGGGCCATGAGTGACTCTATCTGGGTAATTGTCTACCTGGACTCTGTGGGAGAAGGGATGCATAGAACATTTGCTCCCCACTCTCATAGATTGCATTGGATACAGGCTGAGTGTAGGGCTGTGCGGTGGGATATTTGTGGGAACTCTCGGATTGTGAACTTGGGAATCACGTGAGAGATGAGGACCATGGGGTGGAGGAATACTCCGAGGGGTAAGGATGCTGGGTGCTCCTTGTCCCAGGTGCTATATAGCTCAGGCCCCAGGTCTCAATGGCATGGCACAGGCTGATGGTGTTGGGAAAGCAATGAAAATGTTGATATGTTGAATAATGACCCCCTGAGAGGGCTCCGGATTTACATCCCTTCTCTAAGTGGCTGCATTGTGTAACAGTCACTAGGTAGCAACATTGCACCTTTTACACTATTTATACTGCTATAAAGTCTAATGGACCTTAGATGGCAAAGCAGTGTAGCGAAGGAGTAGGGCATGTCTGTGTTACTGGGACAAGATGAGAGCTGAGAGTCATGTAAGAGAAAAGGTCACCTATCACTAGGCTTGACAGAAGTCCGTTTTTATTGGTGTCAATGGATAATATTGATTTAATCCATAAAAATAAAAAATACTTAAATACATTTTCAGTTGCAGAAAATTATGGGGGATCAGACCGTGGGTGTGTTAGTCAGTAGTTATTTAATTACAGTAGCTGTTGAGATTCAAAAAGGTAAAGCTTTAAACTGTTAAAACACAATTTTTTAACATCACGTGTCAAAATATACCAAGTAAATATCCTTAAATCAAACTCTAAGTTCTCAAGCAGCATTTTTCGTTCTTTGCCGATCTGTACATTTCAATAATTATCAATGGAAATATTTTTTCCCTCAGTTTGTGTTCGGTGAAATACACATTTACCAATAAAAATCTAATTCTTCCAAGCTGAGGTATAGTTCATCCTTTCCTCTTTTTTACCCTCTACAGAATCCTCCCAGCTCTCACTGATGGCTTCTTATGTCTCGTTCTATATCTATTTTCCACAATAGACTCCCCATATGTATCCCTTACACTGTGCTGCCATCTAGTACACAATAAATCAGTCTCTAAGTTTCTCAACCTGTGGGTGGGGACCCAAAATTGGGTCGCCAGAATGTTTCAAAGGGTTGCATAGTAGCTCCTGTCCCAAAGGGCTGGCTGGGCTCACCTCCCTGCTCCAGGCACTACAAACTTTGGGGCCCTAAGCAGGAATATTTTGGGGTGTCCCGCACACACAACACATACTAATAAATAATAGGGGGCTCCTTTGAGCTGCTCAGGGCCCTAAGCAATTGCTTAGCTGGTGCTAGGCATAAGCACACTCTGCTCTGGGGTCCCAGCGTCACTCAGGTTTGGCCCAGGCATCATGATGACAGAAGCCCGGGTAGACCAAATATGACTGGGTGGCACTGCAACCCCATGAGCCAGGTCACACCTCCACTATCACAAATTTGGTCCAGTCAGGGGGGCGGGGCCATCCTGAGCAGCGCTGCAACACCGGAGGTTGCAATGCCCTGAGTGGAGAGCCAAGCCCAGCCAGCCCCACAGCACAGGAGCTGCAGGAGCCACCACTGTGGGTCCTGCCCAGTACTCACTCCAACTCCTCTGGGGTGGCAGGACCCAACCAAAACCACCCCATCCCCCAGCCCCCCGCAGCCTGTTTACTGGGTCGCAACAGGCCATAAATATTTACAAATGGGTCCTGAGCCCAAAAAGGTTGAGAACCACTGATCTAGACACTTACTGACAATTTTTCTCAGGGCTTCCTTCACCTCTTTGTTTCTTGGGTTGTATATGAAGGGATTGGCCATAGGAGTCAGAATTGTGTAGCAGACAGAGAACACTTTGTTCAGGTCTCTCAGTGTGTGTGTGTGGGGGGGGGGGGGGGGTGGTAGCAGACACACAGTGATTATGGTCTCACGATTTGGTGAGAGGAGCAGGTAGAAAATGCCTTTTGCTGCCCGA